TACCGAAGGCCGCGACATGATTGATTGTTTAAGCACGGACAAGAGTGAGGCCGTAGGTGGACAGAATCTCGTTGACCGGCTGGAAGTAGGTGGTACCGCCGGAAGAGCAGTCACCGGAACCTCCTGAGGTGACACCCTGGGCCTGGGCGCCAGAGTAGAAAGAACCACCAGAGTCACCGGGCTCGGCGCAGACACTGGTGCGGGTAAGACCGGTGACGCGGCCCTCGGAGTAGTTGACGGTGGCACCGAGGGCGCCGACGGTACCGCAGAAGACACCAGTGGTGGAGCCGGAGCGGCAGATGGAGGCACCGACAGCGGAGGCGGTGGAGCCGGAGACGGGGAGGTCGCCACGTCCGTATCCGTCAATGTAGCCACGGAGGGTGGTTCCGGAGACGGTGCGGATGTAGGACATATCGGCAGAGCCGGGGAAGACGGAGCCGGAGAAGGTTCCGAGGGAGGCACCAGCGGAGGTGGTGGCGGTGTCGCCGGCGCTACCGCAGTGACCGGCGGAGACGAAACCGGTGGTGACGGAGAAACCGATGGAGCAACGAGCGGCACGGTTGATGAGGTAGGCATCACCACCGAGGACGGTGGCGAAGGTGGAGGGCATCGACTCAACGGTGCGGACCTCGAACTCGCCGGCGGCGAGGCCGACCTCCTTGGCGAGGGACTCGGCGGTAGCGGTGCTGCCGGCAAGGGACTCGATGACGAGCTTGTTGGCGGCGACATCGACGAAGTAGGAGGCGATGCCGGAGGAGGCGGAGTCCTCGTCGCGGCGGGCGGGGGCCTCGATGTCAATGGCATCGAGAGCGGCCTTGGCCTCCTCGAGCTTGGAGAGCGGGTTGGCGAGGATGACGGGGGTGGCACCGGCGGAGGTGACGTCGGCGACAAGGGCCTCGTCAGTGACACCGACCTTGAGGGTGGTGCCGTCCTCGGAGATCCAGGCACCGGCGAAGCCAGCAGAGCCCTTGAGGGACTCGACGACATCGGCGGAGCGGTGCTCGAAGGCGACGCGCTTGGTGGCAGCCTCGGCATCCAGACCGAAGTCGCGCTTCATGGCAGCCAGGATCTTGGGGTGAAGGCTGGTCGCGGCCGAGGTGGGGGCACCATAGGCGATGGGCAGGACCATGGCCAGGAAACCGAGGAACTTGGTGAGCTCCATGATTGGCGTTCTGAAGAGGTAGACAACGGGGTGGATGGGAAGTGAGGTGAGTCTAGGAGGCTGCTGAAGAGTCAGATGAGTCTAGAGTGCTGATCAAAAAAGCTTCCAGATTGAACGACAAGATGCAAACTTATATACTCGTCTTGGCTCAAGGATCGTGACGAGAATCATGTCTTTTTTGTTTGCTAACTTGCTATTCAAGATGGAGACCTCCATCGCCCCAGCCATCGTGCAACTCCTCCTTCCCAATTCGCCTCCAAGCCGGCCTGTGATGTTATCGTAAGTTTCCTTGATTCCAGCTGGGCCTTCCTCAACAGGCACATCAGAAGACAACTGCCCCGCGATGCTACCGCAGGCTTCCAAGAGATCAGCGGAACTTCCTCACTAGGCACTTCGGACGACATCTGCACTGCGATGTCACCGCAGGTTTCCGTGGTATCAACAGGGTGTTCCACAAGAAGCGCTCGAAAAGATATCCGCCCTGCGATGTCACTGCAGCCATGATATCACCAGAGCTTTCGCCGCCTTCCTCAAAAGGCACTTGAGAAGGGAGCTACCCCGCGAAGTGCTAGCAGTGTTAGTCGGGTGAGTCCTTCAAGGTGCCTTCGGAGACTACCGCCTACCCCGCGATGCGATGGTATAGGCATAGCTAAATAGGAAGGAGTACAAGATCCTCAAGATAGGAATCAGGTTGGGCGAGTTGGGGGCAACTTGGGAAGTTGGGGCAACCGTTGGGGAGCACGGGAGCTGTTAGCCTGCTCATCGATGAGGTCTGGTGCAGGATCTCTTGGCCCGGCACTGGGTCTCGCCAACTCACGCCTCACACGCTTGTTTGAGTTTTGCATTATGCTTAAATGAGGTGCAGATCATCGGCTTCGGAGCGGCTGTATCTTCAGATTCGGAAGGCCAACGGGAACATGCTCGCCCGCATCGGAGATGTACAGCGCCGGACGGCCAGGGGATTTAGTTATTCGCCCACGAGGCTTTCGGTCGGCCCTCTCTTCGGGAAGGTAGCATGATGGCTTACAGACCCGAGCGTATTAGGAAGGCCAAGAGGGAGCCGCGGAGGACGGAGGTAGGCCGTAGAAACATCAAGTTGCGGGTGCGAGACCGTGGTCCCAACCCATGCATCGAGGAAACGACTGGGAGATGAATGGCAGGCGTTGAACAACTGGTGTCTTGGCGCGGCAATTCTCCACCTCTAAGAGGTTTGCCGGCGCATCCAACCTATCAAGTGCTGCAACCCTACTATCTCTTGGCGTCTGACGAGCAGCTCGCTTGCTGGGAAGGATGCTCTTTTGGTCAGGCGACTGGCGCTTAGAAACTTAATCTCGAGTACCTGGATAGATCGAAGACATATGCAGAGTTGTCGACTATGAGTGCCGTGGGCAGTTGCAGAAGACAAGAAGTAATAGCTGTGGTGTTGCTGCTTAGTCACAGCATCTATCTACACCCGCGGGACCCGGCATATGCCCCAGCTTCACAGACGGCCCGTTCCGGACAATAAGCAGTGAAATCCTCCGAGGGCACAGCAGAAGCACGTAATGTTGTAAGACGAAACGCTTGTCAAGGTAGATGGTTCACTGTCGAAGGATGTTGTTCAAAGTTGTCCCTCTCAAAGAGATCGTTGACAACGAGGAATGTAAGTGCGAAATCATGTTACTGAGGGATGCGGGGGTAATCCGAGAGAGTAATGAGCAACGGCCTTTGCTACGTCCGGTCTTGCAGGATCCTGCACGGACCTTGTGGAGTCTGGCGACAACCCGAAATTTGGCTGCGACGAAATGGCAAGAATTGGAAGGTTGGCAAATGCTGTTTGTTTTGTGGATGGCTCGATGAATGGGGAAGCTGTGAGTTATATCAAAAGTGGGCAGATATCAACTCTTGGCAATTCCCCTTGTTGACGAATTGGCATTGGAGGATTCTTCCTTTTTATGATGCTACTGTAGTACAGAGTAAGTAATCAATAACACCTCACGTCACATGTCTGGAAGTACCACATGCAGTTCTCAGCAATGCCAACACTTTTGAGACCTCGTTGCATTACTTGGATGGTTCGCCTCCGCGATAAGCGCCAAGTGGCTGTGCAGCCTCAACGCGCGATCAACAGATTCAATATCGTGCTACTAAAACCATGGTACGCACCCTTGGCCTTCACGTCCACTCTTGAGCGACTTGAGGTTGCCAGTCTGTGAGAGTTGATTCTTTGATACTGCCATGTAATGATTGCGGTGTCATGGTATAGATTCCTACCCGCTTCTAGAGCTTCCTCATTAGGGAGGCCTTCGAGAGACTAGGCTCTCCAACGGCGATGGCAACTTGGCTGACAATGTCATCCGACTGACCCGACAAGGGTATTCGTCGCCGCTAATCCCAAGCCTCACTCCTTAAGACGTTGTCGAAGGTCTTGCTGCATGCCAAATCAGCCCCCTCAAACAACCGGCAACATTGATGGCGCCGATTGCGTTCTGGAACGACAGCAGACAGAGGGATTGCAAAGGCTCTCGACCGTGATGTGGGCGTGAAGTCGGTTTCTATTTCCGAGTGACGCTCGGAGCAGAGCCAAGAGCGCCTCGCCCCCATCTCTCCGTCTTGGCGATAATCAATCGAGGATGGAACTTTGGGGAAATAGTGGCGTCGCGTAACGTCATTCGACGGGAGCAAAAGGGAAATTGAGTGATAGCTGCAGGAGTTTCAGGGCAACAAACGGCGCCAAGTTTCCCCTAGCCCGCCCCTGTCCTGGGCACCTAGGCAGTACGCTGCTCCGTACAGTAATAGGGGGCACGTGCACATCTGGAAATGTTCCAGACTCTTAGATCCATCACGACTTCAGCGACGGAGCTCTCCCCAAGGCAATTGACGTTGGATGGCTTTGAACGGGCAGTGACTGAAACCTACCAGAAACTCTGAGAGGTGTCTCCAGAAGCCTAGGTCTAGTACTGAAGTTATTCTTCATGCGGTAATGGACTGGTGAAAGAATAATCCAAGTGACGCACAGCCTTCTCCAACAACTTTGTGGCGAATGCTGAGGCTTGATTCGCAAGTGCTGGTTCTGTGGCACGATATCCTACATCTCGCCGTGGAATATGACCAAATCAATAGCTCTGATATCAGTGGTCTCTACATGATTAATTCTCAACCTTATGAAAGAATGAAATATTGTAGCATAGGGTGGTCGCCAGCTCACATAACGGAGGCAAGACAAAGGAACAAAATATGCAAGCAACTGGAGTTGCAGATCTCTGGACGATATCTGCCATTGCCGTTTCTTTTGAGCTTCGAGCCTTGGAATCTGTATTTTGAATGTCTACGCTACCGATATAATAATAGAAAAGAAGATCGGTGTACCGGTAACAGTATCACAGTCAGTTTTCAATGAGAATGAAGTTTCATGTGACCACTCTTCGTTAGTAAGAGCTTCATATCTGTCAAGAAAACTTTCTGTGGACATTTGACACTGGATTCGAGATCCTAACTCTATAGAGACTAAGGAAACAGTCCATGTCTGTTTTTTTTAGAAGTGGATTGTTGCCAGGCGTGAATGTCGGTGAAGCTTCTGGACAACTCATGCTCAAAAGAGATCTCTCCAACACAACATGCCGACAAATACTTATTCGAATATAAGTATGTAAACGGTAGCTTGCCAAATTGAACATCATCTTCAAGTCAATTATAACAAAGTATCGACTACCTACCTTGTCACATACCACGACTCACACGGAATTTCGATTGGCCTTCCAAATTGCTTTCTGCAATTATATTCAATTGAGTATTTCATAACAAAAAAACGCTCAATCCAAGAAATCTTGATTTCTGGACAACCAATTAGAAAGAGAAAATGCTAGACAAACCTGAGCAGTCGCCATGCTCCGAAGATGGCCATCAAATCATGGTGGTCCCGTCTGAGTCGTCTCCCGCATATTCAATGTCATCTACGCCATGGCGTGTCCCCGAGCCCGGTGAAGCCCTTTGGAAGAGTCAGTCTTGGGCAGGAGATATCCGGGATCTCGAAGATAAACTCAAACAACTCCAAGCGGTAATTCGAACCCTAAACCTCCTCCAGTCCCTGCCTGTGGAAATCCGATTTCTGGAAAATGCGCTGACTAACATGCAAATATCCAAAGAAATACGAGGCGTACGTCGACTGTGCTCAGAGTTACGTGCTGATGCAGATGGGAGAGATAAATAGATTGGGCAAGGAAATTCAAAGTCTCACTGAGGAACTGGACACCGCGAAGAAGGTCAATGACATCGAGAAAATGCAGCGCCAAAACGCGATAACGCTTATTGATGCCGCTAAGCGGGAACTTGGTATGCCCCCCAGTAACTACGATTCCAAGACATCTTTCATGAGGGTGTTGGCTACGTTGGGCTTTTCTCGTCGTAAGTAATGTTGTCGAAACACAAATGTTTGGTACGGAGGAGGGAAGATGGATTGGGTGGGCGGTAGAATCTGCGTGATAGTTACAAATTTCATTTTCTTGAACTGAGACAATGGGCTATGCCTCGATGATAAATCCCCAATTTCGCGACTTGCTGAGAACTCGAAGCACATTCATAGGGTGAATAAGAGACAAAGCCTGTTTTCCAATGGGTGGGAATCACAGCTTGGGCACTTGATAGCGTGGAACCTTGATTAAAGCTATTTCCTATTCTAATAATCGAGACTCTACACGGACTTCTCTTGGCCATCTACCGTGCATATAATGCGTTGGCAAGTTTGCCTCGTCCGTAGAGAGAGATGATTATCCTAGAGTTGCGTACTTCCTCTGCTTCTTCTTCTTCTTGTTGATGTTGTCTTCATTCGTGTCTGCTATAGAGCTTGACAAACCCGGCATCGGGCTTTGTGAACCTTGCACAGAGCTTGAAGGACCAGGAGTGGGACTTGAGGAAGCCATAGCAGAGTTTGGTGGGGGGCCTCGCGTGAATAGCTGCCTTGCAGTTGCGATCCCATGCTCTTCGACTCTGCGGAGAAACTCGGCGGGCATTGTAGCAGAGTCGTCCAGAATCTTGTAACTCTTGACTAAGTAGTCGCTCTTGAACTGTTCCCAAAGCATCCACTCTTGGGTTCCCTCCTTGTAGCCAGGTCTTGGATAGTATGGGTCATTTTCCCAAAATGCTTTGACAGCATCATCAATGCCCTTGGGAGTCGGCGGCATTCTTCTGCATTGATTGAAATCTAGTAAGAAGATGCTCACGCTGCGTCGGAGAAAGTTGATGCTGCTTGATTTCGATTCATCCATGTTCCAGGTCGTGATGATATCCCCTTCAAGGTCAATTGAGTCCAGAGTTTGAGCAGATATGCGACGCTCGGGAGAACTGCCAAGAACGAATTCGACATCCGCACCATCAATCTGAGCAGCCCAGTGCATGACCGCCAAAGCCTCAGCCATCGGCTGAACATATTGTTGGGGGTCCACGCCCAAGATCTCCATCTTGTCGAGCGTGAGCTCAAAGTTTCTCAGAGAGAATTTGTTTTCGACTCGTTGATTCATGCGTCTGCGTCCAAGGTAAATGCGTATCAAGCAATGCTTGTTTGCTGGGTTGTTTGAAGCGTCGGCTTTCATGTCGGACGGATAGAAGACGGACACAAGCGCTTCGCGGATGCTTCAAGGTAGCGGGAGAATGCGTTCTGATACCATGATCGCGCTGGGATCAAAGAAAAATCCTGAGTGACTTTTGATCTCCTTGCGGTGGGCGATTTTCCAAGCTTGAAGGTCCTCGATTTGTACGATATATGCAGGTCTTGGCATGGCGTAAGACTTTGTGGTTTTCGAAGCTTCCCACATCTTGACATGAGCCACATGATCAGCCCACATCTCTTGCTTCTTGTTTGATCTGCCGGCCTTGATGATGAGTCCCCTGCTAGGGAAGTCGTATATCACACCGCAAAATCCTTCTCCGATGACTTGAAGCGGAAGATCTTGCTCTGCAGCTTGTTGTTGGCGGATAGCAAATGACGATGCTGTGCTCAGAACTGCGTTTACCGAAAGAAAACGTTGGAGAGTCGTAGTGCAGGATTCGTCAGGTTGATCAATCTCTATAGTGGCGCCATGCTGGACATACTTGTTCGCGGTGGTAAGGTTTTCGAGAAGCGATGGTGAAATGGAGTATGCCGACTCGTCGGTTTTGTTCCCCTCCCGTCTTTTCCGGGGATCTGACATCCTGATGATAGTTCAATGGAGCTCTTCCTGTTAAGTCGAGAATACAGGTTTGATCAGCTTCGAATCAGTGTTGTGAATTGTCGGGGGGAGAGATTTGAGGTGGCAGAGAAGAAGATTTGAGAGAGAAGTGTAAGAAGAAAGAGCAGGAAGAAATCTGAGAGGGAGGTAGAGAGGTTTCCTTCCTACTTTGCAGGCGATTCGATTTGTTCCTGCCAATTTAAAGAAAAGGGGAAAAAAGGAGCTGGAGGTGTGAGGCAGGTCCTTCTTAAATAGAGAAGGCAAGACCGTATCGGAGAAAGAGCTCTTGACAACCTTTGGAAGGTGAGCGGTAGGCACTACAAAGGTGCTCATACGTCAACTCCGACAACCCTCGAAGCCGGATGCTCTCGTTGAGATTCAGTCCCGGGTTATGAACAGAGCCCCTTAATTAGGCATTGTATTCTCTGTATCGATATGAGCCTATGATTCTAAGCCGGCTCCGATTCCCTGGCGGTGACAGCTCCCTTTCTGAAATCTTTGCCGCAATAGAGCATTTTCTTGTAGACACTCTTTCGTCGCTACTACTCCTCTTAGTATGGCAAATTCGGCCTCGAGCCAGTGCGCTCACTACTAGGCAGCCTATGCTCAAGTCTCGCCGGGATATAAAAGCTTTGGTAGAGGGGGGAGGCCTGAACTGATTACCATACAGCTGGCTTACCGTGCCCCTGGACTTGATATCTGCCATGGACTCCTGTTTCCTGCGTAACTCAGGGTAATCGTCACTCACTGCCAACGTTGCTGCCCATTATTGATCATCGTACTTGTGGTTTTTCTCGTGTTGTCTTTCTGTTCTCATACGTATGGTTAGCTATCAGTAAGCCAGATAATGCATCCAGCGGGGGTGTACATCTCTCACCAGAGCTTTCCGTCGTCATTCTCCATTCGCACTCTCACCCACTCGCCCGCTCACTCACTCACCTTGCTCATAAGAATCTCAACAACCTGCATAATCGCCGGTCTTCACCATAATGGTATTTCTCTCCTCTCTGCATATCCTTTGAAACAAATATACCAACGCCAGTAAACAGCGCTCCAACATGGCGGAAGTATATCTCAACGACGCCCGCCTACTCAAGTCATTCAGCTCCGTCAGCAACCGTCCGATCGACACAAGCCTTCAGCAACAACATCAAATGGAGAGCAAAGACCCCATCGCCCGATCTCCGAAATATCAAACAACCCCCACTGACATCCGCCTCCACGGAACACCCCTCTATCGACGTCACATCGTCCCGAGTATCATCGCTCAAAGAAACCCGACTGCACCCCCGCTCATATCTTCCGGCCCCACCGGATCCGCGATCGTGGAAGCGGGGGAACGTCACAATGACCCTCATACTCCGTCGGCTCAATCATCCCGCAACAAGCTTGGCGCTCACCATCATTTCGAACAGAGGGAGTGAATGCTCAAGACAACTCTCAATCTTGCAACAAGATAACTAGACTCACGACTCACCAGTCTCCCCAAACTTCAACCACCGAAGCGCACACCCTTGGTAAAAAGAAACAACCACGATGATCACAATGCCCTTCCCCTCCAAAACAGCCCTCATCACAGGAGCAACAGCCGGCATAGGCCTCGCCCTCGCGGAGCGCCTAATTGCAAACGGCACCTTTGTCATCGCCGTCGGCCGCCGCAGAGACCGCCTCGACGCCCTCGTCTCCGCCCACGGCGCCGACAAAGTCGCCGCCGAGCCGTTTGATATCGCCGACCTCGCGGCCCTGCCGGCGTGGGCTGAGAAGTGAGTTTACCTCATCTATACACCCTCCCCATCAAAGACGAAGCACGGCAACATCATTAGATATAGACTACCTGCCAGCCAGTCCCCCCTCCATCTCAGATTCCGACAGCATACCAATGACTAACAAACCTCCAGAATAACATCAACCCACCCAACCCTAGACACGATCATCCTCAACGCAGGCATCCAGCGCAGCATAGACTTCACTTCCCCCTCCACAATCTCCCTTCCCTCCGTCTCAGCAGAGCTAACAACAAACTACCTCGCCCCGATCCACCTCATCACCCACTTCCTCCCACACCTCCAATCTCTCAACACCAGCACCACCACCACTCAAACACAGGCATCCATAATCCTCGTCTCCTCAGGCCTAGCCTTCGTCCCGATCCCCCGCTGCCCAAATTACTGCGCCACCAAATCCGCCCTCCACTCCCTCGCCTGGTCCCTCCGCGCCCAGCTGCAGTCGAGCCCGTCCTCGGCTCACATCCGCGTCGTCGAGGTCGTCCCGCCCGCAGTGCAGACGGAGCTGCACTCCCAGCAGCCGGACCTAGTCGCGGCGGGCCAGGCCAACTTTGGTATGCCCCTAGACGAGTTCACCGACGAGACCTGGGCCGCGCTCGAGAAGCGGAATGAGGATGAAATCATCGTTGGGCCGGCCAAGAATTTTGCTCACGTTGAGACGGATAAGAGAAACATGTTTGATAAGATGGCGGAATCATTTAAATCGGGCAATAAAGCATAGGCTGAAGAGAAACCATATCAGTAATAATCAATGACTTGGCACTGTTAAGACGACCGGGCTGTTGTTGGGCATCAATTTGTATTGTGCCTATTCCTATGCTAACTACATTCCTGTCCTGTCAGCCGCCATCATTATCATCGTGCCGACTTTCCAGCCAGCGTCGACGAAACGACTGCGAATGTGTGCCTTATCTGTAAGGAATTCCCACGAGGACCGTAAAGAGGAAACGAAAAGCAAGCGTCTCATGTCATCCGGGCTCATCCCTTTCCGTCTCAGGAAATTGTTCCGAGTCCCGTCGCGCAGAACCAAAGTTCCATGTCCACTTGAGAAGAAAGAAACCCAAGCTTGGCCCAAAATCTTTCCTTACTCCCCTGCCCCGATGGTATATCTTTCTGTCGATCCGTCCAGCTCAAGACTGTAGTGAGCCTGTGAGGTGTTGCTTGTCCAGAGTCATAGGAGGAATATCAGTAGCGGGAGGCTGTCGATAATCCGATGACTTGGTTAAGAATGTAAAAGAAGTGAAAATGAATTTGTGAGTCAACCAAGTCTCGGATGCTGAAATGTAAAATGAGCCACCTAACCCCTTGAAAAGAACACCATATGATTCGTAAGAGCGCGCCGGACCGTCCAACCCATCGTTCAATCCTGCAGTGTATGGGGCTGAGGGTCAACCTCTCCCTCATGCAGGTCGTCAATAAGGAAAGACATAGGTGTGCATAGTCGTCGTAACGTCCCGGGACCAACAAGTCTACGCCAGAATGCCGCTCTTGCGCTTCTCGGCGCTGGTCAAGACCAGCATGGGCGCCTTGCGCTGTCCGTCTGCTACTTCGACACCAGCACGTTGGGCCGAGTTCTTGAAGACGCTGGCGAAGCTGTTCTCACCGCTCTCGTTGCTGCCAATGCTGTCAACACTCTTGCGAGTTCTTTGGCGGGAGCTTGGGCGGTCGGAGCCAATAGCTCCCCAACTGCCGTTGGTCGAAGTTCTTGAGCTAGGCAGAGAGCAGTCGATATCGCCGGCAAGGCTGCCGGATCCACTGCGACCAGAGTCAGACTCATTGTCGGTGATGGGGGTGCCCGACTCTTCCTCGGCACTCTCTGAGACCGGGCTCATGCTGCCATTGGAACTGCCAGGACCCTTTCTGCGCTCACGTCCAGCACGGACAAGGTTGTGGACTGCTGATCGGCGGGCGCGGGTGGCAAAGTTCTTGCTTCCCTCCATCTTTGCGATGGGCTTGGCCTTGAGCTCCTCAATGGAAGGGGGTCCGCGAGGCTGACGAATGGGGTGCTCGCCGGCGCGTCCCTGACCGGGTCCATAGCCGCCGGACAGAGGGGTCAATGGGAAAGAGGCCGTCTTGGGGCCAGCGGACTTGGGAGGCTCCTGAGAAGGCGAAAGGCTGGCCTGGTTGTTACCGTTCAGAGCAAGCGACATGACCTTCTTATGGCCACGGCGGAAAGCATTCGCCGACGGGGGAGGCAGAGGAGCAACCTCAGAGGGCGACTCGTAACGCTTGGGAGGGGTCGTAGTACGGTACGGAGTGGCGTGGTTCTCGGGAGGAGGGGACACCTGGACGCGAGGAGCTTGCTGCTGCTGCTGCTGCTGCTGCTGTTGCTGAGCCAAGGCGGCGTAAATTTGAGTCAGCTGGGCCTGCTGGTCGGTTTGTCCCTGGTCAATGTAGTAGCCCTGTTGGCGGGTAACGGGGTCATAGTACGTGTAGACCTGTTGTTGAGGCTGCTGCATCTGTCCCATCATCGACTGCTGAATGCTCTGAAGCTGTTGCTGCTGCTGGTACATGGCGAGCTGCTGCTGCTGAATCTGTTGTTGAGCGCCTTGCAAGTTAAGGCCCTGGAATTGCTGAGCGGCGGCCTGAACACTGAGAAGCTGTTGCTGGAGACGCTGCTGCTGCTGGGCAAGATACATGTTGGTGGCTACCAGCTGGGCATACAAGCTCGGGTCCATCTGTTCCTGCTCATCGAAGTGAATCTCAGGAGGAGCAAGAACCTGCTCAGCACTGTAGTGCTGGCTGGAGGGAACAGACTGGTAGACCTGCTGTTGCTGTTGCTGTTGCTGCTGCTGCTGCTGACCAGCATACCGAGGAAGGGCTGTCTTGGGACCGTTGTACTGGTTACCCTGGGCCTGGGCATACATGTTGGAGCTCAGGTTGTTGCTCCTAGCAGCAAAAGACTGAGAAGTGGGCGAAGCAACATTGGCGTTGTTGGTAGCAGAAAAGTTGGCGGCGGTAGCAGACTTCGGGGCGGTTCTCAAACCAGCAAGAAGATGCGAGCGGCTAGTACGGGGAGTCGGCGCTCCATTGTCGGCGGCGTTGCTGCCGGGAGTAGCGCTGGACAGCGACAGAGGCTTGACGGGACCGCCGCGACGCGAGGCGAGACCTCCGCCAGGCATGGCGAGGCTGTTGCCCGAGGAGAAGTTTGTGGAGTTCATTTGAGCGAGACCGCCTGCATCCATTGCTCAGACGGGAATCGATGTCGGTCGCGGAAATGAGCTGGCGGAATTGCCGGGTTATCCGAGTTGTCAAGACTCGGGAAAGAATGTATGGAAGCCTTGCGAGCGGCTGAGGCGACCGGGTCGAATTACAAGAAGGATAGTGGAAGAATGCGGGGCGCAGGCTGTCAAGAGAGATATTATGATACTCGGTTGGCAGTTCTGTCCGTGAAGGCAGTTGTGTATCCGAGCGATCCTTTGCGAAATCCGGAGCTAGCCCTGGAATCGTAGCAAAGGAGTGTCGACGGATTTGTTGAAGGTGCCAAAAAAGTCGAAATCCAAAAATCGTCAGTGTTTTGGATGATATTGATTGACGGCGTGGGTGATGGGTTGAGATTAGGTGGTCGCGTAACCAGGCGTCGAGGTCAAGGGAAGACAAAAAATGATTGTAATGACGAAAGAGTGGGCGACAATGTGATGCCGATGAAGGTGTGTAGACAGCACTGAGGCGTCTAGAGACTCTTGGCAAGAAGCGTTTGTGGTCGAGGAAGCAGGTGCGGACCACAAAGAACCGACTTTTCTTTGTTAAACCGATGTCGGAAGGCGCAAGCGTGAGGATTTTCGCTACCGAGTTGGCAAGAGGGAAAGTTAGGCAACTGTAGCTTCCTCAAGAAACTGAATTATTTGGGTAGCTGCGAACCTGATGATGTGCGTGTGCCTGGGAGAGATTGCGTTGCTTTGCGTCGGATGAGACGGAGCGGTGCTGAAAATTAAGAAGTGGACTTTTTCTCTGATGTATTTGTTGCGAAGAAGAAACGGATGGACGAAGTCGAAGTAGAATACAGTCGATTAAAAAGTGTTTTCTCGGATGGTTTGGGGTCGTTGTGTGTCGATGGTCAAGACAGGATGCAAAATGCACAATGCGATTGCTGGCGGGATGGATAGGGTTCCTTTTTGTTCCTATTGATTTCGTCTCTTTCGGAAGATGGGGGGATGATTGTGCGTGTGGTGGTGGTCGCGCGTGATTGCGGAGTGGTTGTGGTGAGCAAGCCTTCCAGAACCCCTGAAGAATTTGTGCGGTTGGTTGAAAAAATGATGCGAGACGGATCTCAAGAGAATGCGAGAGCTTTTTGGGCTTTGTGGGGGTTTTTTTTTTTTGTTTTTCTTTTCTTTGAATTTTCCTTTTTATCCTTCCAAAAGACGACGACGACGATAACGAACAAATCGCAGACCAGAGCGGCGGGGGGAAAGAGGAGGGGGAGAGAAAGGTTGAAGGAGGGAAAAAAAGAAGGGCGGTGAGCTAACGAGAGGAAGAGAGGGCAAAAGTAGAAGTAGAAGATGGAGACGGGCAGCGAGTGGACGGCAAGATATGGAGATGGGATGTGTGCGAGTGGTGCGTGTGGTGCGTGGGTGGATGGGTGGGTGCCGCCGCGGCGGCGTGGGAGGGAAGGAGTGGACGAAGCACAGGCAAGGAAGGCAAGGGGTGGATGGATGGTGTGGTCCAGTGGTGTGGGCAGCGGCGGCAGCAGGAGGCAGGAGCACCCAGCAAAGAAAAGAAGGGGAGGCAGCGCCAGCATCAGCACCAGCAGGAGCATATCGCTACTGCCAGTTTTGAGAGAAAAAGAGTCCAGCCCACTGAAGCAGGAGCAATGGAGCGGCGGGAGACACTCACAATGGAACGGATAGGCAGGAGACGGGGGTGGGTGGAAGGTGGAGGAGAGAGGGGGGAAGGAGGGAACCAGACCAGGACGGCGCAGGACGGCCAGGGCAGACAAGGATGTGAAGGGGCAGGCACCAAGCACCAAGCAAGCGCAGCATCCAGGGGAGCCCAAAGAAAGTGGAGATGGGGACAAGGCCAGGCCGCCAGACAAGGCCCAGGTCCTGCCAGGTCGACGGTCGTGATGCACACCACCCATGGTTCTACAGGTCCACTTCCACACCCAACTCTACCAACTCAAGGCGAGCGCCTGACCAATCAAAGAGAGTGGAGTCAGAAACGGGCGACAAAATGGACCAATGATGTGATCAAGAACCGAGAACAAGGGTCTCTCGAGTGGGTCAGCCATGTCACACCCACCAGATCCAGATGTACCTTTGTGCCTTGCCTGGAGTGCCTTCCCGTACCGCACCCTTTGACTTTTTTTCCTTCCTTTTCATTTATGAAGGTGCACTAGAAAGGATAGAGAACTCCTGCTGTGTCTGCATCTGGACTTTCCATAATGGGCAGACTCCACTTTCATCTATCCACCACAGCATGCAGGAAGAAGGAGACAGGGAGGGCACCTACCAGCAAATACCAGAAAGATGAAGGCGAAGCCGCAAGAAAAAACTAAATAGACTGCACGAATTTTACCAGTGGCACACACAAAAATTACCTGAATATTCCGTACGGATACCTCAAATGTCAAGCAGGGCAAAGTCGCGTCGGCAATGCGGCGGCGGCCTGACGGGTCCCGCTGTGGCTTCATCAAAGTTGAGTGCTGAGGCAGATATCCAGTCGAGGAATGCGACTCGGTGACAAGGCACGGCCAGGGATGGTTACTGACGGCAGCCGAGCAGC